GTATGTATGTATGTATGCAGGCATGTCTGCCTTTCCTTTTGTCTGTCTGTATGCCTGTGTATGTGCACTTGAGAAGGTGTAGGTGTAGGTGCGGGTGCATATGTAGCTGTATGTGTATGTGATGTGTATTCCTATGCCTATGTCTATGTCTACGCAATCATGTACATGTATCTGGACGTGTACATGGTGCCTGTACTTGTACATGTACGCGTACATGGGCGTATACTTACACTGTGTATGTATGTACTGTATTTACATATGTACATGTGTATGTGCGTATGTATGTATGTCCAAAAAACAGTGTCTATGAAAAATCGGGCTGTGGGGCATTATACGGGGCGTCAGAGAATTAGTGATCTCTATTCGGGGTCCGTCGGAGGAAAGGCACGGATTGAGGCTACTCGAAGGTGTTTTCGGAAACTATCGAGGGTGTGGAGTTCTATCAAATGGCCACACAAGTTATCTGTCTCGTTGATTCTGGAGTCGTAGGTGTGGCTAGGAAGTCCGCCAAATTAGGATTCACTCGTATCAACGCCTTATCAACATGCGTGCCCCTTCATGCTTCTGGCGTGTGTCAGGCCATCAGCAGCCTGCACTCAGGCCCACAATCCCAAGCATGCATGTTGGGACCAACCCATCCGTGTCAGGAGTATGTGCTAGAGTAGTTGCCACATGCTATATTCGCACTGCTACGAGGCGATGTTCTCAATGGACACAGCCGGAATGCTTCGTTCCTAGATCCAGGCATGCCGTCGGCGTTTGCGGCTGCCGCCACGGTTTTGGTGGCCGGTGTTCTGATGAGGAGGCCGCAGCAGGATAATCTGGGAGTCCTGAACGCTGGTTGTCACGGTTCTCTCTTGCCTTATGTAGTCCCATATAGAGCATCTGCCAAAGCCTTTTCCAATCTCTGCATTCGGCTGTCCAAACCCTAAACTCCTAAACCGTACCCTGCCGTGCAGCTTGACTTCTCAACGGAGCCTGAGACAGGCGGACGTCCTTCAGGACAACAGAAGCCAGCCAAGCCAGGGTCTCAGTGTGTTCCGCATCTCAGATGTTAGGTTTCTGGCTCAGGGGTTTGGGTTTCGATTTTCAGATTTGGAGGTTTAATCTAGGATTACATAGGGTTTTGGGTCTCACGCTATAGCACTCATGACGTTTTTGCGGTGGCGGTTACAATGCCGGCATCAATGTTTGAGTTAGCACAGCTAGGGCTATGACCTGCACTAGGATGTGTGGTAGGTGTGGTGTAACTAGAAAGGATCATTGACATGTACGTCTTCTGCTTTTGTCCTTCGGATAGTACTTCGTACTGGCGCTGTTCCGTATTGCCATCATGTTCATGACTCAGTGACAAGCTCCGATGCATAGGATGTTTGACATGTTTGTACGTTCTTCGGAATATGTGATCTTAGCAATAGCATTAGTATGATTGTTCTTATAGCTATTATTGTTATTATTCTTGCTCCCGTTCTTATTCTTATTATCCTTTATTCATATTTGAAGTCTTGTTCTTAGTATTCTTATTGTTTTAAGTTATCACTTTTCGAATATATTCTAATTATCATCGTGATCATTATCGCTGCTCCTCATACTCTCAAGACTGGAGGCTTCCAGAGGGTGGCGCACCGCGCTCCTCGCCGCGCGCCGAGGGCGCAAGGGTCGGCGCTTCTGCTGCACGGATGAGGATCCAGGCCCAGAGGATTTTGGGTTTATAGTTTCAGGGACTTAGGGTTTAGTGGTTTAGGATTTTGGGTTTACAGTTTCAATGACTTTGGGTTTAGTGGTTTAGGATTTTGGGTTTACAGTTTTAGGGACTTAGGGTTTAGTGGTTTAGGATTTTGGGTTTACAGTTTTAGGGACTTAGGGTTTAGTGGTTTAGGATTTAGGCTTTAGGGGGGTATTCATGCGCAGTAACAACACAACTCAATGTATTTGTAACAATAGCGAATAGCGCTCATGTAGAATCAGCATTGTATTAATTATTAATCATGCTCAATTGGCATGTTGGAAAAGGTTGGGCTGTGGGGTTGCGAGGTTTCGGCCGAGTTTTGGAATTAGGATCCTCATGTCATGATTGTGTGAGGGATGTTTCCGACGATGCTGCGTTGCTGGCATGATTTTGGGCCAACCCACGTGCCAGCCTCATTTGGAAATCCACTCCTTCAGTCTCCTCTCGTATGCAACCCACACGGTTTAGGGTTTAGGGTTTAGGGTTTAGGGTTTAGGGTGTAGGGTTTAGGGTTTAGGGTTTAGGGCAGAGAAGGGTTTAGTATGGGTTAAGGGTTGAGCAGCGCCAGACCGCCGGATGTACTCAGGTCTTCCAACAGAAGAACTGTTGACACCAGGCTGCAAAAAGAAGCCATGGTTAACAAACCAGCAAAGCCCTAAGGTTCGCAAAAAGGTGCGTACAGTAGGTTGGAATCGTCGGTCTTTGTCTGGAAGGCCAGGTTGCAGCAAGTTCGGGGTCTAACAAATTGAGGCAAATATATGCCCTTCCTCAGTAGCCCAAGATTGGAGTGGGCATGAGTGAGCTACAGTAGCTTTGATGCCAAACTCTGCGTGAACACTTTCTGGCTCGACTTTACCTCTGCTGCTTAAAGCTACAATGACGAAGACCAGGAATCGTTCTGAAAATTGTTCTTTGGGTGTGGTGGCTGTCGTGGTCTTGCTGGTGCTGGCGCTGGTGCTGTCGCTGGTGCTGGTGCCGGTGGTGCTGGTGCCGGTGGTGGTGGCGGTGGTGGCGGTTGTCGTCGCCATGGTTGTAGCAGAAACACCTGCAGTAGGAGACATTGGGAGCAGCAGCAGCAGTTTCATTTAATTTTTGTAGTCGCAGCAGCACCGCTAGCACCAGCACCCCAGCAGCCCGCAGCAGAAGCAGGAGCAGCAGCTGCCATCGGCACTATGAATCTTCAAGCTTGCCTGCCGCGAGATTGCCTCTCCAAGATCCTACTACATACTTGAGGATCTTGAATCTCCAAAAGCTTCTCCCAGGAGTCCGAACCAACAGCCGCGAGACAGAAAACAAGGAGACCCGCTTCCAGCTGTTGCCGTTGCGGGTTCAGGCGTAATTATTGGTCTTTGTAAGAAAATTATGTTTTCAGGGTTTTGAGTTTGGGGTCTAGACTCGTATGTCGTTCTCCCGAGACAGCGATCCGATACCCGCCTGGGAGGCTTCTGAGAGTGGACCCACCAACATGGACAAGAGATCACCAGTGGGGCGGTTCAGCAGATCAGGGTCCCCTCTGGTTCCTGGATCACCACAAGAGTTACAACAAGTACGTTTTGAAAGGGATTTTCCTTTAGTCCTAAACCCAGAACCCGAAATTCCAAAAGGAAACCCTATAAACTCCACACCCAGAGCCCTAAACCCAGAACCGCGCCCCCTCCAATGACTGATGCCTCTTTCCTCGAGCCGGTACCTCTGACAGCATCGAGGTGAATAAGTTGCTACTGGTAGTATCCCCTTACTACAGTATACATAGGGGCCTTAATAATTACCTCTACTATTTGGGGGTTTCCTTATTATAGTAACAGCACAATATACCCTAAAACCCTAGTCTAGTTATTCAGGCTTCTACAGTACCTCCTTTTGCCATACTGCTTGATGCCCCAAAGCCTTACTCTGGTCATCGGGGCCCCCTGTATCCCCAAGTTCCTGATTATAGCAAAGTTTAATAGAATCCATAGGTTTTGATTTGCGGACTTTTCAGGACAGCTTCCATATATTCCTAAACCCCCATAAGGGCCCCCTACTTCAATCCTGCGAAGGAAGCCTTCTCCGAAGCCGAAGGCGAGCTCAGAGGCGAAGGCGGCGAGCGGCCCTCTTCGTTAATGACAGGACTTTAGGGCCTGGGATACTTTGGGTTTTAGGGTAGTTTAGGGTTTGGGGTTTTAGGGTTTTAGGGTTTAGGGTTTTAGGGTTTAGGGTTTTGGGGTTTAGGGACTTAGGATTTTCAGCCTTATACTTATACGGTCTTAGAGTTTCAGGGTCCAGCGTGTTACAGAGCTGGCGGTTTGGGGGAGAACAGTGTTTGAACTTGTGTTGGTTTCGTGGATTAGTGTTACGGATTTGGTCGTTTGAGCGTTCAGAGCTTGCGGTTCCGCCAATGTCCCTTGTCCCGACCTGTTGTGCTACATCTCACAGCTAACACATGCAGCGCCGAAAGCCTGTGAATCCCAAGCTCTGAACAACCCGCCAGTCCCCTAAATCCTAAGATCCCAAACCTACAAACCCTGCAATTCCGAATCTTCGCCTAAACCCCTAAATTCCGAAGCTCTGCACGCGCCTTACCCCTAAGCCCTAAGCCCTAAGCCCTAAAATCCTGAAGCCTTAAAACCCTCTCCTGTGCGCAGCTGGCCAGCTACATGACCGCGGGGATGGCCAAAAAGAAGCCGGCCAGCAAACCGGTGGAGTCGCCAGTTTCAGATGCCGGCTTGCCCCTGGCCATTCCTTTTCTTCCCGTGCCGCAGTTCAGGAGGCCCCCTGTCTTCCGGGTTCTGTAACGATCCCTATGGTTTTTGTGAGGGTTCTATCGGAGTTCACCGAGGTTAGATTTAGTGCAGTGCGGTTGTCCGGGGTTTGGGGTTTGGGTTGTTGCTAGCAGAAGAGCCGGGTTTGATTTTTGGGCTTGGTTCCATGGGCCAGATTCCGGGTTGGTGCTGAATTGCGGTGTAAGTAGTGTTGAGTGTATTGGTTGAGTTTAGGTTAAAGATGTACCTGTTTGGGGAAGGTTTTGTGGCCTATGTCGGTAGGGATTTACGAAGACATCCACGTGCCCAAGCCCATCACGAGGTTTGCGGCGAATGCCCCCGGCGATGCGGGCTTCGATCCCCTGAATCTGGCACGCGACTTGAAGGGCTTCAACAACCTGCGGGAGGCTGGTGGCTTCGGGTTTAGACATTGGGTGCGGATTTGAAGATGCGGATACAGAACCCGACGCCAGCCTCAATTTCAAACTTCCGGAAATTCAGCCGAGCCTATCAAAACTGAAGACTGGCCATCCTTTGATCAATGTTGATCAATCCGCAGCCTGAAGATATCTTGGAATTCGTAAGCTGCTGAGTCCGTACGTATCCCCAGCCATGAGCCAACAGCCCACCGGGGTTTGGGGTTTACGGTTTAGGGTTCAGGGTTTAGGGCCACTTGTAAGATGTCACTATCAGCAGAAAGGCTTCTCGTAGTTCGTACTTGCATGCATACAGCATACACAATGCATCCATTCATCCGTCCATGCATGCATGCATGCAAAATACATTCAAAATCATATGTATATGGTTACAGTATGTTATTACAATATACACGTATTGCGCACACAGACTATATGTATTATGTGTGTGTATAGTATATGCATATGTGTTTTCTGCACCCTTCGCACAATCTGTCAAAGACCAGATGCCAAAGTAAAACCTGCAGACCATCTCTGGGCCAACAAACGCTGGACTCGGCCAGGACGAGTTGTGTCTTCGTAGATGTACACCTAATGTAAGGCCGCGATTGAGTTAAGGCCCCGATATCAGGCCGAGTTGAAGCACGCCCGCCTGGCGATGCTGGCTGCTGTGGGCTGGCCACTGGCCGAGATGACGCTGGCCTTGAAATGTGAGAGTCTTCGTATTCGGGTTTGTATTTTGGTAGGATCCCAGTATTTCGGATCTGCACTTTTGTCTCTGATTTTCCGAAGGTCCCAATCCCAAGCATGGAAGTGGGCGTTTCGGGATGAGGGTTTCGGGCTCAGTCTGGTTGTGATGACTGCTGTCTTTATCACCGTTCTAGTTGTTTTTGTATTTGTTGTTTCTAATTGATGTTCTCAGTGCCCCCCACCCAAAACTCGAATGACTCGAATGCCTGGCGGAAGAAGGATTGCACCGTGCTGTAAGTAGGCAGTCGTTTAGAGACTTGCGGAGACCGCCAGAAACTGGTATGAGCTAGTTCCGATCGTCTTTATTCGCATGGGACACCTAAGAATCCCCTCAACTGATCTTAAATGCTACAACTGATCTTAAATGCTACCTATAGTCTCCATTGTAGTTCCTTTTTTGGGTTTAACCAAATATATATTACGGAGTTTATAAGGTATCCCCAAAAAGGAACTACAATGGAGACTATTGGTAGACTCATAATTCTCAGATTTCATGACCTTCGGAGAAGCTTTTGAAGGCTGCAGCCTCCATTGGCGAAGCTGACGGAGCAGCCATCACTTCTGGCACCCAACAGCCGAGCGCCCTCCTTCCTGAACGGCGGTTTCGGAGAGCCCCAGCTGATCTTGAGCCTCGGACTAAAGGATTCGGGGTTTGGGGTTTTAGGGTTTAGGATTTAGGGGCACCCTTAACCTACCAAAACCTGTAGGATCCTTACAAATTCCATATTAGGGTTCATAGTAAGGGCCTACAAAAAACTAGGTTTTGGTAGGTTAAGGTCAGGGTTTAGGGAAATTTAGGGATCTTTCATCGGCTTGGGCAAGGTGGGACTTTGAGTATAGGTAGTATAGCGAGGAGCCAGAAGAAGTTTGGCTGCCTTCAGTGTGCGGTTATTTCGGTATTCATGGAACTTAGAGGAAGGCCCTAAACCCCAAACCCGAAACCCTAAACCCCAAAACCCAAAACCCCTAAACCCTTTAACCCTAAACCCTGAACCCTAAAGCCCTAAGCCCTAAGCCCTAAACCCCAAACCCTGGGCAACGACGTCCCCTGTTAGGGTTTAGGGATTAGGGCCCCATACACCCTAGCCTCCATAAGGGGGTTGAACTGTTTAGGGTTTGGGGTGCCTCTTGGCATGTCTGTGTAAACCCCATCCCGACAAGAACCGAACAACATTGCACTCTTGCGGCCGAGAAAATTCCTTCGTTGTCAAAAGCTCTTGCAACACCCTTAACCCACCCGGCGAGCCGGGAAGCTTGAGAAGCCGTAACCCTTTCAATTGCTGGCACCTCGAATTTAGCGCTTGGGATCTAACTCAGAAAAAACCCCAAGTCTTAAGCCGCAGAGGTTTCTAGCAACCCTAAACCCTAAACCGCTGAGGTTTCTAGGAATTCTTTTCGTTTTCACTGGCATCCTGGACGTCTCCAAGCCCGACGGGCCTCCCGGAGACAACAAGTTCGACCCTCTAGGCCCCTTGGTGGGAGTTGGGGGTTTGGGATTTATGGTCCAGGTTGGTGTTTAGGGTGTTTGGTTCTGCGCGTTTGGGTTTTGGGGGCGAGGTCCGGAATTTGGTGTGTTCGGCTTCACAGACCTTGTCGGATCTTGTTGCCGTCCTCTGACGCAGAATGATGACAAAGCCTGGGTTTCTTGTTGATCAGCTGCGGATTCTTGAACAAGGGGCCCCAATGCTGCACAGGTAGGCCTCAAGATCAACATGATAGTGGCAGCTCTCTGTCATTCTCGCTGGCCGTTGCAAACCCTGGCAGGCCTCAGAGAAGTGCGACCGCCGGTCATCGCAGGCTTCATTCCAGCCAACAGGCGGGAACGGATACTTTTCGCAAACTCAAAATACTTTGCTAAATTACTCTACTCTACACTATACTATACTATGCTGTAGTACTATACTCCATTATATGAGGCTTTAGAGTCCTTGACGACAGCGCTCACTTCCTCGAAGATTCTCGGCTGAGGTTCTATAATATACAGTGCCTGTTAGACTCTGGACTCCGCCGGGACCGTAATTTACAAACAAGCCCACATGTCAAGTCTTCCTATCCCTCGATCGGTGCTCCTTGAAAATACAGGTTGACACAACTTGGGATGGTTCCCTGTCGCAAGGCATGTGCATCTGTCATTGCCGTGTGGTTCGTTTTGTTTTTCCATCTGCTCTTGTATACATACTAGCTAGCGAAATGGACGGAGAGAAGGATGAACATGCCTGTCAGGCTTTGGATGGATGAAGCGGAGCTCAAGAGTCCTGACTTGAAGAAGTTCCCTTTTGGTGTGGGCGGGGAGCCAGTGGCAGGGGCTGCAGTGTCCAGGCTCCCGACGAGCTTCATTTCGGACAACCTCTTGGCGGAAGTAAAGAAATGGATCCCGCAACCCTTCATGGGTGGTCGCAAGGAACAGCGATCAACATTTTTTCAACATGGGTTGCGGTGGTCCGGCGTATTCCCGCTTCCTCTGACAGGACAGTTGCTTTGTTCTGGGTTGTGCAACAGGGCACGGAGGCTGCAATGGCAGAATCCTGAAAGTCTGAAAGCCTGGTCCTACAGTTTCATGTACTTTGCTTTTTGTTTTTGCTGTCGTGACTTTGACCTTGAACCCTGAGCTCAAGCCTAAACCCTGAAACGGTTGAGTTTGGGAATGTCGGCTCTCGAGCGGCAAGGAATGGTCGGCTGGCCATGATTGCCATCACGGGGTTCGTGGCCTACGAGTACATCCAGGAGCGGACGTATCGCTCGTTCCAAAGCCTGAAGCCCCGTGGTAGAGGTCGGGGTATCCCCTTGTCATCCCCGTGTATACTAGAATGAGCTCAACAAGCACTGTTCTGATTCTAACTGTTCTTCAGGTGTCCCCGAAGCTGACCGGTTGGGCTCGGTGTGGTCCGAGAGCCGCCAGGTTTAGTTACAGTGGCGGAAGCAAAACCCGCATTCGTAGGGAATGCCCATACACGACTCCCAACCTTAAGCCCTTAAGTTGTTCAACCCTAGAACTATTGAGCCTTCGACACCAACCTCCAGCACCCAGATCCTGAAACCCTTGCCAAAAAAACCAGCTCTTCAACCCTGAACCCCAGAAACATTCAATCCAGAACCCGAGCGCTGTCTCGCGCTTGCTCTCCTTCCTCCCTCTCATCCCTAAATCCCTAAACCCCAAACCCTTTAACCCCTAAACCCGAAACCCCACCCTTCCTGGACCCAGCCCAAAACCCTAAGTCCCAGGATGTGCCCGTGGTGCAGCCCATGAGCCCCGATGCTCTGGACTTTCTGATGCCGCTGATGGGGGCCTCCTCCGAGGGCTCTTGAGTCCGAAGCAGTTGACAAGGCTAGCATAGCACCATACGGTATTATATATTGTATAAGATGTTGCATAATGCAATATATATATATATATATAGATATAGTTGCTTCAAAAAGTTTCGCGAAGGATTACATCAAGGAGATGGACCCTCGGACTGCCTTGTACACTGTCAAGTAGGGCCGAGACCGAGGTTCCCCAGTGATTCTGCCATGGCCGCAAGCAGGAAGTCTTCAGCAGATCATGGTGATGATGCTGATGATGAACAGGGGGTGTGAGGATGGTGAGGATGGGGACGACAGTCATGATCCGCCATGGCCGTCATGACACGACGACGATTACGACGACGACGACGACTATGACTATGGCTACGATTAGTACTACGACTACGACAATGACTATGACTACGATTGCTACGACGACGACGACCACCACCACCACCACCACCACCACCACGACCACCACCACCACCACCACGACCACCACCACCACCCCCACGACCACCACCACCACCACCACCAGCACCACCAGCACCACCACCACCACCACCACCACCACCACCACCACGACCACCACCACCACGGCCACCGCCTCTGGCTGTGTGGACTATTATCAACCAGTTGGCATGACCATGTTTCTGCATCCCAGTACCTCATCCTCCTTGTGCACAGAGCAATGCCTTGCCCCGAATCTTGCAGCCTCTTCCAGAGTTCCAAAGGATGGTAATGAAGGTCTGATGTCAGTGGTGACGCTGCATCGAAAGCTCTGGTCTGCTCTTTTGTTTGCCGAAGTTAGGAGCAAGCCATACCGCGTCTCTTCGGGGAACCTCATTATGAACCTCAAGTTACAGACCCATGGGCCCAAGCTTCGTGATCAGCTCGCCTTAAGGCTGCCAGTCTTGTCTCACTGCAGCAATCTAGAGGTTTTAGAGCCTAAGCTCGGAACCGATACTGGCTATTTGGGCTCATGGGCCCTCTGAGATGTGTCTAAGACAGACACGGATCGCAGAGCCAGGGGCATCAAGCCCGTTGGATTTTTAGCTTGCATATCATCACTTTCTGGTGGGAGTCAGGCTTTCGGGCGGTCTGGGTGCAGGGTTGGTGCTGCAAAGGTGTGGTTTCGTTCAGGGTCTACACCTGAGGTTTTCAGCTGAGGCTTGGGCTTTCCCGGGTGGGGTTGGCGACAGACGTCTCTCAATTCTCCAGACTCTGACGACATCCATGCCAAAAAGTGAGCTACCGGACTTGCCGCAGGGTCTGTTCCGAAGTTCAAGATTCATCACCCTGGTTCGCTGCACGCGGGGTTAGGGCTGCTGTGATGGTAGCAGCAACAACTCATCACACTTTAGGCAGCGCCATTTCCACATGGAACCTTCAGTCCAGCCAGTCGGCCGCTAACCAGGAAAGCTGCATTCCTTGTTCTTAGGGTTCCTTGTTGCAGCGAGCCCGGTTATTTCTCCCCTGCTATTCCAATTATAAAGGCCCGTAAGTTACCTTATTGTGAGTCCTAGGTCGCACCAGGATTTCAGAAGCTCGAGTGCCACGTGTGGTTGGCGTAGGGTTGAGGGTTTGGAGTTTAGTGTGCGCGAAGGGCTCTACTTCTTAAACTCGGTCCGGAAAAGCCGCGCACATGGCTATTCAAACCCTCTGACTCTAAATGTGAGAGTTTCAAAATTAGGGAGGTGGTGACCTCGATCCTAGACAGCCTTTTATATGGACACCTATTGTGGGATCCTTTATTGAGCCCTAAACCGCCAAACCCCGAATCCCAACGATAAACCCAGAACCAACCCCTAAAAGGACCCTTTTTAAAGAGTATCCTTCAAGGAACCCTTACCCTTAACTGACCCTTATAAGTTTATAGTATGAGTATTCCCTTAGAGGAACCCTCACAAGTTTAGATGAGTACCCTTACCTTAAAGGAGGCCATACAGGACTATTGTTGAACCCTAAACCCCAAACCCTAAAGGAGGCCATACAGGACCATTGTTGAACCCTTTCCTGAGGTCTGGACCAAGATTGCCGAGGCCAGGGCGCGAGGCCCGCCTGAATGTCCAACCCCTAAACCCCTAACTTTGTGCGCAAACCGCACAAATCGCAGCGTCAGAAAGTTTAAGCACCTTGTTGCTTGATGGAGCTGGAAGAGTCCTGAGTTCGTGAACTCTGAAGTTATAGGAAGCTTTCTGTGAGAACCTGAATGCAGGCTCCGACTTGCCACTGGATCCCCGCAAGATCTACTTGCTGGTGGGCGGCCAGCATTTGCTGGGTTTAGGTTGCTGGCAGACAAGATTGCGAGTAGAGATTGCGTTCAGGGCTTCCAGGCCCAGAATGTCAAAACACTGACTGGCAGCACCGGAATCGTCCCCAGCCGCAGAGCCAAACTCTGCACTGGGCGTTTCCACTGATCTTTTTCTTCTGCCCTCCGTGTCTGCCCCGAGTCCTCGGTTCGCTGTGTACCGGAACCGAGCCAAATTAGCAAATGCATGCATTCCAATGGTTCCCATGGGTGGCACGGGTCATCCTGCGCAATCCGGCACAACACTGACGCCTCAGCTCAGTTCACTGTGCTGCTAGCATTGTAACATGCAGAGGCATTGCAAAACAATCGGCAGGAGTAGCAGGCATCGCTGCCTGCGCTTGTTTTTTTTGGCTCTCGCCTGCACCGCTGCGGGCCGCCACGGGCACCGGGCTCTGTTCGATTTCTCTTACAAAAGGATTCGGGACTCGCAGCTGTGTGACTTGTCGTAGTGCGAACGTTACAGTCCTCCGCCCGGAAAAGCCTTGAACCGCGAAACACCGAAACCCTTCAACCACCCCAAGCTTTTTTGAACCCTACGCGCTAGGAACTGAGCCCTAATATAGGGGTCGTAATACAAATTACCTCTTCTACTTCGGGGGCTCCTGATTATAATTATACTATAACATAACCCAAAACCCTATTCTAATTAGTAAGGCCCCTACACGCTACACCTTTATATGTTAGCCCTTATAGAACCCTTTAAGGAACCCTTTAAGGCAACCCCCCAAAACCCTATTCTAATCATTAAAAACGCCAAAGCTTCTTTGAAGATGAGATCCAGGCACATCCGGACAAATGCCCCTTGCCCGAAGCGCCTGGTCCTCGGTCCTGGGGCCCTGCTCCACCATGGTTTGGGGTTTAGAGTTTAGGGTTTCGGGTTTAGGGCCTAGGGTTTAGGGTTTAGGGCCTAGTGTTTCGGGTTTAGGGCCTAGGGTTTAGGGTTTAGGGTTTCGGGTTTAGGGTTTCGGGTTTAGGGTTT